TCTCTATCTCTTGCTCTCTCCTCTAACTCTGCCTTTCAAATTAAATAAAATAAATATTTAAAAAGGTGTTTCCTTCTTCCTAATCTTCCTAAAAGAAAATAAAGCACTTCTTTCTCCCTAGCAATGATTATAAAAGAATTCCCACTCCTTCAAATTAAGTTTACAGTGCTATATGTAAGTTTATGCAGTGGATAAAAGAATACATGCCGGCCGGTGCCGCGGCTCACTAAGCTAATCCTCAGCCTGCGGCACAGGCACCTCAGGTTCTAGTCCTGGTTGCTCCTCTTCTAGTCCAGCTCTCTGTGGTGGCCCAGGGAAGGCAGTAGAGGATGGCCCAAGTGCTTGGGCCCTGCACCCCATGGGAGACCAGGAGAAGTACCTGGCTCCTGGCTTTGGATCAGCGCGGTGCGCCGGCCACAGCATGCCGGCCGCAGCGGCCATTGAGGGGTGAACCAACGGAAAAGGAAGACCTTTCTCTCTCTCTCTCTCTCTCTCTCTCTCTCACTGTCCACTCTGCCTGTCAAAAACAAAACAAAACAAAACAAAACAAAAACAAAAACAAACCACACATGCGACACACCACACCTCCACACTCAAGCATCAGGAAGCTCAGTTTCCACACTTACAGAAGATATTTCCTTTTAAAATTTAAAGTTTCTCTTTAGGTATGTTGTGAACTCAGCAATTATTTTATCTAAGTTTTAACAGTTTAATGTAGAGAACAGTTCCCATTTTCTCTATAAAACTAAAATGCTTTTTCCTGACTCATTAGCCAAAGGTTATTCCCGCTCTGAGTTATCTTGCTTGCATCATGGTGAGGTACGTCAAGATTTCGTCTCTTCCAAGAACATCCTATATTCACTCCAGCACCTCTCCTGCCCCTAAGAAAAATACAAAGGTCTTGGAAAGTGCTGGTGTCTGTTATGCACTGACTACCACAAAGCAGCAGGGGGAGCAGCCAGAGAAGGCATGGAGCCACAGCTCCCCAGAGAAGGAATTTAATTTATAGGCAACAGAAACGTAGTCCGGGATGTTTGCTAAAAACCAGAGAGACAATAAATTCCATGGGGAAGTCATGAGCACATCTACAGAGCTGCCCTAACTACATTTTGAATGAGCTAGGAAGAAAGGTGAAGTCTCTTACAAAGATGCATGAATCCTAACTTCAAGACAGACTTTTCAGCTTGAAGCCCAGTAGTTTCCTGCAATGGCAGGCCTTGGAACGGCCCCCAGCAGGAGAGATTAGAAATGGAATCCATTCCTAGAGAGGACCACTTCAGAGGAGACTCAAAATGATTTCGTTTTCTCCTTCAAACACTGCACGTGCACTGATGAGACGTACATTACGGGGTCACAAAGGATAAAGCATCATCCTTGAAAGCCCCCAAGGCCCAGCCCCCTGCTCTGCCTTCCTTGCCGCCCCCATCTGATGCACTTTACGAAACAGAAAGGTAGCCAAAAGCACCATCAAAGTCTTCTGTACTTTACTCAAGAGATGCCTGAGCTCTGTGAAATCACAGCGAAGGATGGAAACGTGCCCCACCAACCCACATCGTGTTTTACACGCTCAAAAAAGTAGTGAGTGCTGGGTTTTCGGCTTTAGAAAAAAACAAAAAAGTATTTAGTTCCTCTGTCTGGAATTCAAGAGAAGACTAAACTTCTAAATTAGAACTTCAAATGTGTATGTCTGCATTACACCAAAGAAACTGTCAATAAAATTTAAGCATACTTCACAACATGGAAATGTGTACTCAAAGATAGTTCTCTAAGAATTATACTGTGAAAAGTCACAAAACTGAAAACGTCTAGCATAATTTTGACAAAATGATCACTTTTTCTTTTAGTCAAATAGGCAACCAATAATGTCTGGACTTAACCCCCAAATAATACCAGTGACAACAGGTATGGTGTCTTCCATTCTCAGACACTGTTTTAGCTGGCTGTTGTATATACATACTTTTGTACTCTTAACTCTGACCTTTCAAAACAGTTATCATACTCATATTATGTCAAGAAAACTCAAGATGAAAGTTTGTCATTTTTCTAATGTAATTCGGCTAATGAGGAACAAAACCATGATTCAACTTTCAGATCTGTTTTCCAAAGCATTGAGACCTCGTGAAAATTACCCTCAATTGTACCAATGAGTTTCAAAAGGAAATCTGCACAAATCTAAGGCAGATTAATGTATTTATGAGGGTGAATACTGTAGATTTACTCACTCAAATGCCATCTGGAATCTTACTCCACATGTTGGCCTTGAACAAGAATTCAATAATTTTCCTGCCTCAATATCATCAACAAGCAGTACGACTATTATAATTCCAATATAGGAAATATGGCTAATAGCTTCTAAAGCATCAAAAACTGCTAACTGATTAGGTTTTTTTTTTTTAAATAGATGAGTAATTTAACCCAATTTTTAAAATGGATTTGTGAAATCAATTTCCCTCTTCTAACACCCAAATCCATCTCTACAATAAATATTTTCTAGCATCACTTTAAAAATCCCAATCTCTTAACAGTTCCCACTGTGCTCTTGTGCTTCAAATTGAGTAAAGTAAGTGTTTAAGAAATCTCGTAAGACAAAAAAACAAAAAACAAAAAAACAGAAAACTACCATTATTTTCAAAGGCAAAAAGAATAAAACAAAAACACTGATAAAGGTGGATGACAATAAAATGCATAACCAAAAAGCAACGTTTCAGGCTTCTCTCTCACACTGGAGAGATGTGAAACAAGGGAGAGGACTTGTGATGTAAATTCTCCTCTTCTGCAGTTGAGGCTGAGTGCAGCATCCCTCCCAGGGGTTTCCTCAGTTTACCCACCTGGAGGCGGTTTATTTCAGTCCCTTGTGGTCAAGCAGAAGGGGAACCTTACAACTTTTACTAAAACCTTTTTTTTGTCTTTCCTACACTAATCCTTTTTCATCTATAAAAGTCACAGGAGCTTAACACTTACTTAGGAATGAGTTTTAAAAAAATGAATGGCTCAGGCATTAAAAGTTTGAAGCAACAGATTCAGCTCACCTAAGTTTAATTTTAAAAATAAGTCTTACGTCAGTCATCTTTCAGCCATAAGACATAAACACACTACAATGATGTTTTGAAAAAGTACTTCCTCACTTTACCTGTAAGTCACTTCAACCAAATAAACTCACTTGCCATCCTAAACCTCTAAGTAACTCACGGTCTATTTTCAGGGCCTTCACAATAAAAATTGAGAAAACAAAAAACTTTTATTTGATACCTTTCAAAAAAAAAATCTGAGCAACCATCGTGACTTAAACATCTTGTAATCCTAAGGTGTAGGTTGATAGTTGAAGTCATTGACAACCTTAACAAACTTCATATTAATTTTAAAATTCAGACCTAGGTCTTATCATTAAGAACATGGACTTGAGGGGGAAGTAATCTGTAGCTGCTCAGGCTGATTCTGCCGAAAAGGTATTATCAAATCATCCTGAAAACATAAAGCAAATGCTTCCATGGCCAAGTGCCTTATCAGTCTGCGCTTCCTTTTTGCTACCCAGAATCAACCAGACCAGACAACCAAGAACTCCGGTGCACGGCAGAATGGTCTCATTCACCGTGTAGGACACTATGGGTGCCCAGCCTCGTCTACTGCTACTAGAGTCTGATTAAGGAAAAACAAATCCCATTTTCTAGAACTAAGAATTTGTTAGCCGCAAGAGAACAATGGCAGCTAATGCCAGCGCAGGGAGTAAGAGCCCCACGTAAGAAAGTAGTCACCGGTCATTCTAAGCGGGAGCCACACCAGACTTACAAACGAGGCCCAAATGACCAAAACATACATCTGCTCAACTGGGATGCAAACGGGGAGGTTCAGTGTGCGTGTAGATCGACTGGCACCTGCAGGCAGTGTCTGGGGAAACCCTAACAACAATGCTATCTGCACGACCAATGTGAACAGACAAGGCAATCAACTGGCATGACATTGTTATAAAACTGCAAAAGAAAAAACAAGTGGGACACAAACTATGGCTAGGTTTAAAAAGCCATCGCTCCTTGAAAAAGAGCACACAGATAAACAGTAAAATGGGATAACCTAACTGACCTTGCAAATAGGTGGCCACAAATACTTAGAGGTCTCTATGGGGCCACTATCACTAATTGCCACACAAAGTCACCACCAGTCCTCACTGGCTGAAGCCACGGGCCATCTGCATCCAAGATGCACATCCCGCCTGCCTTTCCTGCTCCCTCAGCCAAAGAATCATTAAAAACATACAGAATCCCATTATTTCCTTGCATAACTAAAGGCAAAGAAGAACAGGAATTGCAAAGAATACGGCAAAACTTGAAAAGCCCCTACCTGGCCTTCCAGGCTACCTTAAGGCCGGGTCAGGCTGCAGGTTCCTTCTCAGCCCCCTAAACTCCGCTATGTGCCCAGCCCCGCAGGCTCCCTGCAAGTCCACGACCCCAGCAAACTGGGACTCGCTCTCCCAAGAATAACGGCAACGGAAGTAATGAACCGCTCGAGCCTTCTAACTTGGCCAATGTTCCCTGCGCATGCCGACCGAGAGGGTGAAGGCTGGGTTCTTCCAGGGCACCCTGACCACGAGACGGAAGGAAGGCGAAGGTTCCACGTTCGAGGAACTCCTGACTTGGGAGTGGGGACAGCTGGTGACGTCCAGGTGATTGCCTTCACGCCCGGCAACTCTTACTTCCTTCCGGGCATCCCAAGAACACCTCCACCTGTGCAATGCCCCGCGGACCCCACTGGCCTGCCGCAGCAAGGACGAAGTGTCACTTGGGAATCCCGGGTCCTCCGGGCACTCAAACTGCGTCAAAGTCGCTTTCGCGAACGGGGCCCCTATGTGGTGTGATGGAAGAGAGGCGGAGGGCTGCCGCCCGTCCGAGGCAAAGGGCACGGAGCGTGCCAAACCTCTGCGGACTATTTTTCCCGGGGCCACATGCACCGGCGGCTTCCCGGGGCCTGGGACCCGGGGGTCCGGGGGCGCGGCGCGGGGAGCTTACCTTGTTGGAGGCCATCTCACTGACGGAGTGCCTGGTCTGCAGCGTCTCTAGCTGGTCCAGACACCAGTCCAGCTCCTCCAGGGTCTCGCTGGCCAGTTTCTGGTAGGCCTCCTCTGCGAAGAGACAGGGAAAGGGGGACTCAGTTCTCAGGCGCTTCGCGGGGCCGCCGGCGAGTTCAAAGGGGGCCATCGTGCCGTACCCCGCCATGCTCGGACGCCCAGTGCCCGCACATGAGGGCTGCTCCTTCATAGTGCCCGGCACCGCAGCGCCACGGCGGCCAAGGCTGCGCTGGCGGGGCGGCCGGCCTCGGGCGGGCACCGTCTCTCCAGCGTGGCGTCGCGGGGCGGCCTCCGGGAGGGCGCGCCAAGTGCCGCCGGCCAACTTTGACGCGGAAAGCCCACGAGGCGACTTTTCGACGGCGCGGCGGGCCCGGCTTCCAGGCCTGGAGCGAGCTCCGCTCCGGAGGGCGGCGGCGGCGGCGGCGGCGAGGGAGGCGCGCGCGCGCCCGGGCGCCGGCTCGCGGAGGAGCGTCTGGTCCACGGCCCGGGCCCCTCGTCCCCCCCGGCCCCACGGGCCTCGAAGCGAGTGAATCAGCCGCAGCTGGGTGCGCGGCCACCACGTTTCCTGTTTTCTTTCTCAAGTCCTGGGGCGGAGGGCGCAGCGCGGCTCCATCGCCGCGGCGTTCCGGGAACACTCCCCCTCACGCCCCTCGCGGCCCGCGGCGCTGTCTGGCTCCTCCTCAACCCCCTTACAAAGACATTCCGAATTGCAAAAGCCCGGCCGCGCCACCCGCCGCGTCCCCTGCAGCCCCGCCACTACGCCGCGACATCACCCCCGCGCAGCCGGGGGCCGCTCGCTTTGATGAAGCGCAGCCCGAGAGGCGCGAGCGTGTGTGTCTGTGGGGCGGCTGTGGGGCTGTCTACGCAGGGAGACCGGCGGAAAACCCGGCGTGGAGCGCCCGCCGCCCGCCGCCCGGGGTCGCGCCCGCCGCGGGGCTCCAGCGGGACCCGGCGCGCAGGCGCGCGCGGCCGCGCACCTGCCCCGCGGGGACCCTGCGCGCCCCGCCGGGCCGCGCAGCCCCTCGCGGTGGCCCTGGCTGCCAGAACCTCTCGGCCTCCTAGAGGTGTTGCGGGAGGGCGCGGCGGGCGCCACGAATGAAGCTTGCTGGGGATCTGCACAGCCGTGCCCGAGGGGTTACTTAGGGCTTTAGGGTTTCTGAGGGTTTAGGATAATGGCATTTCTACAAACACCTGGCTCTTCCACCGCCCAGCGCAGCTTCTAAAAAGTACCAGACTTAGATTTGGGGGTGGACATAAACACGCAAACCAGACAGACAGTATCTTGGGGTCTGGACGCTTCGGCATTCAGAGATTTGACAGTATGTTGCGTTTTTTGGAGCAGGATTGCCTAAGAGTTATCTTAAAGGAACAGCAACGTGAAGGCGCCACATGCAGGGAGCGTTCCACACGTGTCCTGCATACGCGCTTCCTTTGTGGAATTGCACAAGAGCCCACGGCGGGCTCGTGGTGCCAAGGAAGAGCCTGCGAGGGTGCTTCTGGCCACCAGGCCTGGCTAAACTACAAACACGCGCCAAGCGAACTACAAAGGGGAGAAAACGGGACGTTCTAAACCCACAGGCTTCCTAGGGTAGAGGGTTCTGTTTAGACCCGGGGACCCTGGGCACTCTCCCTCCGCTGGTCAGTTGTGCGCTGAGAGCGGCTCACCATTGGCGTGGGGGGACAGAAGCAAACCGCCCAGCACGTTCATCTTTTAAAACCTGGCCATTGTCAGCGACAAAGACGACACTGCAAACCTTTTGTCTTCCAACGGACAAGTATTGGTGGAGAAATTATGCCCTTGAAATTTAGACTCCATACTCTATCTGGGGGAACAAAGAATTTCATGGATTGGATCTCAGGCTCCTGGTAGTTTTCAGATAGGTTTTAACATAAAATTTGTAAAGGTTCCAGTAACTTTCAAAGTATTTGTTACATGTGCCACGTGGCTTGTTGTTATCTAGGATCTTGGAGTGTTTGCTATTCACTCTGAGACTAGCTTAAAATTTCCCTTTATCTCTCATTTCTCTCTCTCTCTCCCTCTCTCCTCCCTCTCTCCCTCCCTATTTCTCTCTCTCTTTACATCAACTGCTAAACCTATACTTCAGGTGAACAAGCAACTCCCTAAACCTTGCCAGGTGTATGGGACTTAGCTGAAGACTTCTTTCTTAACCAGGAGCACAACCTTTAGGATACTTTTTGGTAAGTGTAAAATACACTTCCAGTTCTTCCTGATCACAAGAATATAAAAATATTACATGCTTGCTACAAAAATGAAACATTCCACACAGGCATAGAAAGTCCCTTGTAATCTCATACCCTACAGATCAAAAACAATAATTCAGCCTGTTGTAACACAAGCATTTTCACTTCACTGAAAACCTCCCATATGTGAACGTAACTACCTGGTTACCATAGCAGTGCATCTGGCATATAGTTTTGTTTTCTCCCTCTCTCTACTGTATACATAAGGGGGGCAGGAACTTAACTTTTCTTTGCTCATTTGAGTTGTGCACAGTGAGCACATCCAGGGGGTGAAGGAAACATAGCCAGTGTGTCTGGCACTTGTCCAGGGCCATCTTTTCAGCCACTCGTTTCAGCAGACAGCAGGAAGCCACCTTCCCCTCTAAGGCTCCACTTCCTATGTTCCTCTCCCCTGCCCTGCAACTGTCTCAAAGCTTGAGCCCCAGGGACTCCCAGCACATAAATAAAACGCACCCCTTTCCTCCCATCACCACCTTCATCAACTTCCCAAAGCTCTCCAGAAATCAGCAATACAAATCCTTGTCCCAGTCCTACCAGGTCGTGGCTCCACATATTGTATTTCACTCTTTATTTTTTAATGTGGAAAAAATAATTCAGGCAAGTGTCAGGTTAATGCTTTAAGACACGGTGCACTTAAGATTCTTGTACAGAATTTGCTCTTAAGAAGGGACTGCAGTGACAAAAGGGACTATGAAACTCAGAAGATCCCTTTTATGTCTAAAGCATAGATTAGTCATTTGGCAGGATTTGGGTACAATTATAATGTGGTGTGTACTTGTATTTTGACTTCTAAATCTTCTGCATACATTGTATAAATCTGAGGAATGAAAAAAATGACCTTGAGCATAACTACTTCCAAGTCAGGACATTACAAACAACAGAGTAAACAAGTTTATTTGATAAAACTATCAAAGAATTATTGTTGATAGGGCTGAGAATATTACTTCTTTTAAGTTCCAAGGTTAGTAGGCAATATGCCTAGCCACAGTTTTAAGATCACTATTAAAGTTCCATTTTAGGAATTTTAACCCCAAATGTTCTAAGACATTGAGTAACTGACCTTTTCATCCTTAACAAAACAAACAAACAAACAAACAAACAAACAAAAAACACCATGCTCACAGAAACAAAAAACAAAAAACCCCAAACAAAACAAAACCAAAAAAACCCCTCAACCTCTCGATGTGGAGTTGCCAGCTATCCTACAGGAAACTGAGTCACCACTCCAAAGAGCACACCTAATGCCATCTACAGCTAGCAGCACAAAAACAGTGAGGCAGTTAATTTTGACTTTTACCCAAGTACAGACTATTGAGTAAATTCCACAAAGGCCAGCAGAAGGGCTCTGGAAAAGCAACCAAGGAATAACTTGAGCCTTTGGAAGTCTCTCCTGCAGCAGCATCCCTTTACTTCGACACCCTTGAACTATGTAACACCCGGGGTTCTGCTGGGGCTCTTCAGTGAACAAACAGTCCTCAGTTCTTGCCGGCCAGCACTTGGCTTCCGTCATTGTGATGCGAGCAAGGGTTCCCCTGACACATGGCCTGACACCGTGCCAGGAGCTCCAGGGGGAGATGCTGAGGCAGCAGCTTCCCTTTGCCAAGGAAAGAAGTCACCGCCTCGGAGCCACCACAGCTGGCTGGAGGCTGAGGTCGCCTTCTTGTGACATGTGTAGCTCATTCTGCTTGCCCACAGCTCACAGAGATGCTGACCACTGAGGTAAAAGCACCCTCTCTGCAGAGGGGGTGGGGCTTGGTTCCTTGCCAGCACTGGAAAGGCTAAAGGACTGTGTAAGTGCCACAGTTCCTAGACAGTTCTCATGGTGTAAATGAAGAGAAAAAGTGCAAAAAGTCAATACTTGCTTTGGGCACCATTTGCTTTGCCCTTAATTAGAAAAATAATCATAATAAAAATAATAACAGTGATTCAAATTGATTTTAAATTAAAACAACTCCATGAAATAGCTCCTAAGTACAAATACTTAACTATATATATATATCTTACTAACCAAGTGTCGTTTTTCTCTCTCTTGATTCCCACCCAAATTCCTTCTTCCTAAGGAAGGGGTTGATAGCTTCTGAAGTGGGATAGAACTGGAGGAAATGATTTTTATTTCACCATGGGTTACTTTGAGCTAGTGACTCTCTGACTTTGCTGCAATGAAAGATGTGTGCAGGTTCGCTCTGACTTTTGCTGACTTAACTTTTTTCCTCTATACATTTTATCTGATGGGAAATACATGAAGGCCTTGGATTCTCTTTCAATGTGTACATACAACAGGTTCAAGCAGAGCTTGCCAGTGGCAAGCTGCTCTCATTTCCAAGTGTATTTCTGGCATCATGCTCTTGTTTTGAAGTATTTTAAAATCTTACAAAATATATAGAATTTCACTCAGTACTTCAAATAACTTCCAAAGGGAAGATGTGCATAATTTTGTGAGTATTTTTAATCTTCCTACTATCTACATTTTTTTTCTAGTGCTGCCTGTAGCTCTCGTAGAATTTTTTAAATGAAATACACACAGGATTGGGTTTCACTGACTTCTTTTCCCATCAGTAACTCAACATTTATATAGCACCAAGTACGTATCATGTACTTTAGTAGAATCTGCAAAAAAAAAAAAAAAAATGACCAAGTTAATGTGTCCCTTACCCAAGGAAAGCCTAGATTCCTGTAGACCACACTGTAGAGAGTGCTCTGTGAGAAGGAAGCACTGGGACTATGGGACATAAAAAAGGGCTGTTTAATCCAGACTCGGGCAGAAGTAGAATGGGCAAAGACTGAGTCCTACA